CTGCGGCGGCTTTGACACAGCTCCAGACAGCTGCGCAAACCAGATTGGCATCACAACTCGTTTGGGTGACCCGCTCGGCAGTGGGGACCGGGACAGACGACGTCACGTTGCTTGGACTCGGAGCCGCGCCGCTTTGGGGTCTGATGCGTACAGTCCGGAACGAACATCCAGAATTGCGCCTGCGCCTCGTCGACGTGGGCGAGGGGACGGGAGCCACTGCTCCGAATGCGCTCGCCAGCGCCCTGATGTTGGGTGCTGAGCCTGAGATCGCCATGCGCGGGAGACAGATGCTGATACCGCGAATACAGCGCATGGGCTGGACATCCAACCCAGAAAACTCCCCGCTTCTCCGTGCCGATGGAGCGGTTCTCATTACCGGGGGCGTTGGTGGCTTCGGGGGTCGCGTAGCTCGGTGGCTGGCGCGTACCCACGGCATCCGGGACTTGGTGCTCACATCCCGCCGCGGGCCTAAGAGCCCAGGCGCAGACGCTTTGGTGGCGGACCTCGCCCGGCTCGGGGCACAGGCCACGGTGGTGGCCAGCGACATCGCCAACGTGCACGACACCCGGTCAGTTATAGCGTTGTTCAACTCCGACCGTCCACTGCGAGGGACTCAGGTATAGAAGGCATTTCAAGAGATTCTTTGTCTATAACATAATCTAAAGGAGATTCTTGAGTTTTTTGTCTTTTATTGCTGTCTTCATCAGAACCATCTTCAGAACTATCTTCTAAGGGTCTCTTAGTGTTAGGTTGACCATTAATATCAGTCATTGTACTAGGTTGATTACTACCTTCAGCCATTGTACTAGGTTGATTACTACCTTCAGCCATTGTATTAGGTTGACCACTACCTTTAGCCATTGTATTTTCAGGGTTTACAGGTTCCTCGTTAATAACAGCTGGTTCTGTTAATGGTGTTGGAGTCGAATTAGAAGAACTAGGTGAACTTCTAGAGGGATCAATACCCCTTTCCAAATATTCACCTGCAATTTGTACTCTATCTCTTACAGCTTTGGATTCATCACCAGCCATTGTAAGTATATTTGCGTTAATTAAGGATTTTTCATCGTGACTTAAATTAGGATTATTATTATTAGCAGTTGTAGCATCAATAAATCATATAATTATTTTATTATCTCTCCGTTGAGTATATTCTCTTAAATTTTCCGGATTATCTTGATAAGTTCTTATTACTTCATTTATAGTAGTTTTATTCGATGTAGTACTATTAGAATCACTATCTAAATCATTATTACTATTAGGGTTATTATTAACATTATTATTATCGGCGAAATTTATAGAACTTGTTTGAAAGCTCTTAGTAAATGTTTTAATTTCAATTATAGTAAAAAATTTTTTTGTCATATATAAATTTATTATATTATTTAACCTTCGTAAAGGAGAGAAGCTCAGATTCGAACTTGTGATCCACGCGGCCGGCGTGGCCGACGCCGGCACACTCGCAACACTGACAGCGGAGCGCTGCGCGACGAGCTTCAATGCCAAAGTCGATGGTGCTTGGCACCTGCACGAACTTACTCTGGGCGTGGACCTTGATATGTTTGTCACGGTGTCGTCCATCGCGGGAGTCTTGGGCATGCCGGGTCTGGGGCTATACGCCGCGGCCAATGCGTTTTTGGACGCGCTCGTTCATGTACGCCGTGCACGCGGCCTTCGCGCTACCTCAATAGCATATGGTGTGCTGGCTGGTGGCGGCATGGGGACCGGATTGATCAAAGCGACCCGGGCCCATCTCGCCCAGTTTGGCCTCGAGCCGCTCCAACCAGACGATTCGCTTGCATTGCTGGAACAGGCAGTACGCCAGGCTAGTCCCCTCACAGTGGGTATTCCCCTCGACACGGAACGCCTACGCACATACTTGGAGAGTAGAGGTGCAATCCCGTCGCTATACCAATCGCTTCTGGGCCGAGGCAGCTCAAGCTCAAGACAACCAGGTTGGAAAATGCGCTCTATGCTCCGCGAAACAGAACCCGAGAAGCAAGTTGGCATAGTCCTCAGCGTAGTCCGGGATCTGGTGGCGAAAGCCCTCGGCTTCAAGCGCGCGGAGGATGTGGACGTAATGCGATCGCTAAAGGATATCGGGATCGACTCTTTAACTGCCATTCTCACGCGCAACCAGCTTGCGACCTTGACAGGCTTGAAACTATCTGCTAACATCGCCTTCGTTCATCCCAATTTGACTGCATTGAGCGACTTCCTCCTGTCCCAAATGCGATACGATGAGGACTCTTCATCATCGCATAACGGTGCTTTGGGGCAGTCCGGCACCACGAAGCCTTTGACGATAGCTACGCCTGCTATGAATTCGCCTGTGGTTTCTACTACTTTAGATCTAGAGGCAGTTCGCAAGGGTTGCCTTGACTCAAGCATCACGTACGAGAACGTTGCCGAGGGCCTCGTTCGCCCTGAATCTGTCTTCGTTACGGGGGCCACAGGATTTGTCGGTGCCTTTATGCTGCACCAACTGCTCGAGAAGGGCATCACCACTCACTGCCTCGTCCGCGCGTCTGATCAGGAGTGCGCGCAAAAGCGGCTAATAGGAACACTGGAGCATTATGGGTGCTGGCAGGCCGACTATCTTCGGCTACTAAACCCAGTCGTAGGGGATATGGCCTCTCCACTCTTCGGCCTCGATCCTCAAAGCTTCAACAATTTGGCCGACCAGGTGGACTCTATCTGCCATGCTGGGGGCCTGGTGGATTGGATGCGGCCTCTAGATGAGTATGTCGGGCCCAATATGGTCAGCACGCACGAAGTATTGCGCCTAGCATCGCGTGGTTATCGTGCTAAAGCCGTACACCTCATTTCAACCGTTGCCACACTGCCCCGGTACTTGGGGCATAATGTCTCCGAGAATGAACACGAGTACCAGTATGCTACCTCGAAGTGGGTGGCCGAGCGCATGGCGGACGCAGCGCGCTGGCGCGGTGCCCGGGTCTCCGTGTATCGTCTTCCGTTCGTGGCGGCCGCGGCGGTGACAGGCCATTTCCGGCGTGACCGTGGTGACTTCCTCCACAACCTGATTGTGGCCAGTTTAGAGACGGGCAGTTTCCCGTCTATTCGAGGGGATTTGTCTCTGGTACTTCCGGTTGACTATCTAAGCAGGGCTGTGATCGGCACGATGACACAGCACCTTGACCAAATTGGCCAGGACTTTGATTTCTCTCCATCTCAAGCCCCGAAATTCGACGAATGTTTCAAAACTATGGGCGGGCGGGATGCCATTCCCTTCCTCACATGGCGGCAGCAAGTCTTAGCATACGCGTCAACGGCTCTGAACAGTGCGGCAGCCCGTATTGCTACAATACTCGACGGCTGCGACGAAGACATCATTGCTAGTATGTTCAAGACACTTCCTGTGGGGAGGCACATTCTCAGTTGTGACGACTTTCCTGTACAGTTGTTCGGCGAACATTCAGTAGTGAAGTACCTAGAACGTATCCGTGCCACAAGTGAAAGGCTATGTTAGGAGAAAGAATTTGGGTTTGGCAGGTGAATGTGAACTATGTCATATAGACGACAGGCACAATGCAAACCTACTGCGCCATCCGATGCCGAATATTTAGTTACGGCGTTTAATCAGTACTATACCTCCGAATAATGGCTGACCATACAAAGTTGACCTTCTGATACCAACAAAGGCCGCCCAACCATATATTGACACCTGCCGATCTTGGAGCTTGAATCTATCCGTTAACTGTTAAGATATGGAACACACCCATAAAATAAATGGATGCGAGATTGACTTATGTCATGGAAAGAACTGATGCCTTGAACCAGTTGTTCGGTTCTGAGAGACGAAAAATTGGTCCTCAGTTTGAGAATCATTATCTAATTATACTACCAAGTGTGGTGTCAATCATCATAAGGCATAATTTAGGCGTAAATTTATTTACAAACAAGAGCAGATTAGCATGTAAAGCGATAACATGCTTACCGAGAAAAACCCTACCCTGTTTCCCCGATCACACTGTTTCTCAATCGTGCTCTAGCTCAATTCATATACTGCCTTGTGGCAAGAATCTGGTCATGAATCCTGCAGTAGACGCGCTAATTGTGCCTTGCTAACTTGCTATTTACACCCCTCTGTATTAGTAGTTCAATTTGTCTACCACTTATGCACTTGTAACCTCCACAGACCGTTCACACCGTGGCGGCCATGGCCTACGTCGTCACCATACCAACTTAGTGCGCTATGGCCTTGATCGACACCAGACTTGCAGCCTCGTAACTTGGTGAATGATGGCGTTGTGGATTGCATGATGAGCTGCATGGCTCCTGCAGCCGGCCTGTTGCTTCATCACATCAGCAATTATCCTTTGTACCTATGTCCTAGACATACCATACTTGGAATGAGCAATCAATTCAAAAATCGCGATTGGCTCGGACGAGCTCGGGCTTATGTATTTCCTACTTAAGGGTATTCGTATTTCGCATGGCTGCATAGTATGGGAGGATCGGAGGTTCAACAAAGGTTTGAAATATTTATTGACAAGACGGCAGTTGTTCAAAGTGAGAAAATGGCACCACTGGGCAACAACAGCATTGCATTACCTGGCCCCTATACTTGGTTTGCCTGCATTAGTGTGCGCTTATGTTTAGTCGCATGCATTAGCGCGCATCGTCACATTTTATGCTCCCTGCCTTCTGGCCACGGCAATGATAACCAGATTCCATCATACTCTGTCCTGAGAAGCTCGTTTTCATCACTTAGGCCCACTTATCACCCCCTTTGAAGCTAATATGGCGCTAGAGCTGAATCTAGCGCATAGGCTCCCGTGTAAAGCATATTTCTTCCAATCATAGAGTGTGGACCTGGTTAAACAGGGCGCGTTGACGCCTCTATATTTGTGAATGGAATTAGCGGACACTGCACTACACCCGTTCAATGGCCAACCTTTGCAAACAAATTATTGCATTTGTTTCTTGATTCTCACTGTCAATAATCCATCTGGACTTGAGACCATTATTGGGGCATAATGGATCGAAATGAGAAAGAAGAAAAGGCTTCTGCTCCACGTCTGATTCCTCCCATTGATGGTTCATATCACCCATCTAGAGCCATCACGAAGATTCCTGCAACCTCGTCCTTAGAAGATATTCTTGGAGTTCTTGAGCGAGATGGTGGTGTTATCTTGACCGATTTTGTTTCATCACAGACTTTGGACAAGATTGACGAAGAGCTTGAGCCCCACACGAAGCCCATTGCTAATAATGACTCATACGATAACTTCATCGGCAAAAATACTCTTGTCATCCCTGGGCTGGTTGGAAAGTCCGACACCATAGCCAATATCCTGGACACCAATGAGACGATAGAGAAACTTCTCAAAGTAATTCTGGAGGAGAGATACCCTGCAGTTTTTGAGCAGCATACAGAAGACCTTGTAGTTGACCCGTTGTTGAGTATTGCTATGGCATTTTACGTCCGCCATGGCTCTCCACGTCAGGCATTACACAGAGACGACATGATTTTCTCTAGCAAGCACCACCCAGATATGAAGATCAATGAAGTGGACGGTTTCAGCTGCTTCCTTGCTGGGACCAAAATCACGCGAGAAAACGGCGGTACAATGGTCATTCTAGGCTCCCACAGGTGGGAACATGACAGGCGCGGGAGGCCCGATGAGGTTTCCTTCCTCGGTAAGTTTGATTATTACAAAACTGGTTTATTGTCGGAAGCTCTCTGACATGGTGCCTAGAAATGGAACGAGGGTCTGCATTCATTTTCCTCAGTAACCTGGCTCATGGTGCTGGATACAACACTATCCCTGGCGAGGTCCGGAAGATTCTGAATCTTGTGTTTTGTCGAGGAACTTTGCGTCAAGAGGAGAACCAGTTCTTGTGCAATCCTCGAAGCAAAGTTTTGAAGATGAGCCCTAAGCTGCAAACTCTGCTTGGGTTTAAAAAGCCAGCAGGTAGTTGGCTAGGCTTAGTTGAAAATGAAGACCCTGCAAAGGACCTTGCTGCTGTTTACGAGAACTTACTTTCATAGCTTTTTTTCATTCTCATCATCTATGTAGGTACCGTAAATGCTATCTTCTATATACAAACGTCATACATATGTGTTGATGTCCTATCTTGAACTATCATCGACTTAGGTCAAATCTTAAAGAAGATTAAGAGTTATATTATGTCGAAATGTAGGAAGAACTTCTAATGTACGGCGGTATGTTTCGGCTCCTGGTCATTTACGAGGTTATGATGAATCGGAGACAGGCTTTAACGACAACTGAGAGTGATACTCAAAATCATCTGTGCAGCCTTGAAGATAATTTTCATACATGACTTCGACTTCAACACAGTCACAAGCCAGATACCACTTAGAGACGAAACACTCCCTCGCACCCTTCCGAATTAACTGCCATGCCAGCATAATATAACGGGTCGACATGGTTCGAAGATGGTATCCGAGAAAATGAAACGTTTTGGCAGCTGAAATAGAAAGGCTACTGTTCTAAATAAGGCTAGCTCTTGGTAGTGTCAGCCAGACCATCCTACGAAATATTACCCATCTCAGTAAGGGCCTCTTTGCTCATGGCACAGTTGGCATGCCAGCTCTCTTCCACAGCCGCCTGTATCGCCATGCTTGACTCGAAGCGGTCTAGCGTTTGTATTGCCTTCTCAGTGCTGCCTCCAGGAACGCAAACGTCCCCCAGAAGCTCCAACAGCGTCGTTTTGGGCGCAGTCTGTGCCAGAACAGCCGCGCCCAAGCAGGACTGTACCACCAGATCACGCCCAATATCTATAGGCAGGCCACGAGCAGCTCCGGAAGCCACGAGGTTCTGCAATAAGTAGAAGAAATACGCAGGGGCGGAGCTGGAAAGAAAAGAGAGTTATTCAGAGTTGTTCAACAGCAAAGGGACGCAGCGGTGCAACTTCTCGAGAAAACCTACCCGGATATGGACGCGACGATGTCCAGCAGGTCTTCACGCGGGAGCAGAGCGACGACTGGAGACATGCGCTTGAATATGGACTGGACCTCAGACGCTACCACCGAGGATGTACATTGGTTGGGGAAGATTCCGGTAGCACCCTGTCGGACGGCAATAGGAGTGTTAGGCATGGCCCGCACGATTGATGTGTTCAAGGGCAGCCAGCTTTCGAGCTGCTTGATAGTTATACCGGGGCACACGGTGACCACGACAAGCTGCTGTGTTCTATCGGCCGCCAGGAAGGCCTGTCTAATATCTCGACAGACATCTCCGGTATAGCGAGGCTGCGTAGCGATCACCACGATATGTTTCGTTCCCAAGTCCTGTGGCGATCTCCAGATACGTACGTCTGTGTTGTCTGTGGTTATCAAGACGTTAGGGTAGTCATTTTGGAGTCTCTTGGCAGCGTCTGGGCGGCGATGAGTTAAACTCAAGGAGTAAGACTGGCTCGTGTCGGACAACAGTCCATTCACAATGGCGCGGCCAAAGACGCCACAACCCACGATTGTTAGTTGGGACGAAATCATTATTGAAGCTGTTCGCGTTGGCATGGCACAAGGTCGGTAGCCATTCTCAATGTGTGGGAACATGAATGTGCCCCAGGTTTGTTGCTTACGATCAGCATTGATGTAATGAGATGCGGAAACTAATTCCTCAAGTGCCGATAACCTGTGGATTATGCATCACAAAACATTTTCGTGATGCCCCTTGGGTCCCTCGATGAATACTACCCTGATTTGCTGGCTTGGATTGCATGGTGTGTCTTCAAATGTCATTTGAATTTGGAGATTGTGCTTCAAAGAAACGGCCAAAAGATAAACTTTGTCTGCAGTGACTTGTCGATCTTGGTCGAACCCATCGTTGCTGTTTCGTGTTCGGTCCGTAAGGAGAAATCCATGGCGATTTCATCTTGTCAAATAGTAGGATTGTAGTCAGCCGGAACAGGGGCAGCGATGCAGCTTCAAAGTATATCCTGATGTACTCCAACGTATCTTCTTGTATATGTCCGTGTACTTGGTGTCGTTGAAGATTCTGTAGAATTGCCGAACTCAATCTGATCAGCCGATTTGATCCCTGCCGCTAGCCCATTCGTTATCACCTTCTAAACATCGCGAGAGTACATCTTGCATATTCAGTCCCTATATTCCCAATTGCAGTGATAGTCGGTGTTACAATTCTGATGGATGCGACATACACGACCCACGCCAGACCCAGCAGCCACTTGCACCTGCATCCCCCCACCCTCGGCTGGTCTTACCCACTTAAGTTAGCAATTGGTGGGTAAGTAGCATTCCGCCGAGATGTGCACTGTATCTCCACAAAATCAATATCATAGAGAAAGAACGGCAGTATGGCAGCGGTGGCAGTCTTCGTAATCTAATTTACGTATCTGCCGTGTTCTGGTAAATGTGTTCAACCGAAATGCCGGGGCTCTGCGCTTTGATCGATTGACGCAGGGTGATCAATGGTTGCTGATATTAAGCTGCGACGCGGTGGTCGGCCCCACGGACGTGCAGAGGGCCGTTTATAGGTCATCAAACTGCACAATAGTTGAGTAACCTCGGGCCTGTGGCAGTAAAAAAGTCGCAGACGTTGCCACTTGGCAGTGATGAGGAGATGGCACTGCATGGCCCATAAGAAGGCCATCGCTTCAGTTTCATACCGATATCTGTCAATGGTGGTTAGGATCCACATATATTCAATATTCTGGTGGCCCCAGGCGGCATAAGGCTCCAGAGCCCGCCAGCCCAAGCGTTGTTGAGCAACCCAATCGACTCATATCTTAAAACTTGGTACAAGCGTCATTGGGACTTGGGAGCTCGCGAGTACTCAAAGACTTTGACTTACACATAAACATCTGGTCGTGACCACCTATAGGATTGCCATCGTTGCGGTTGCCGGTGGCACCGGCGGCGTTGGCCGTACTGTGCTGGATGCCATTACCAAATCGGGTGAGCACCAAGCCATTGTGATATCGAGGACAGTAAGCACATTGTTTCTCTTCATATAACCTTGTCAACTTACACTGCGCAGGTAGCATCTGCAATTGCACCCAGCGAACCGAGACGTTTTGCTGTCGATTACAACAACGTTGAACAGATGAAGAATATTTTTCAAGACAACAACGTTGAAGTTGTTGTATCAGCCTTGTTGCTAGCTGATGAAGACGTTGCGCAGTCACAAATCAACCTCATTAAAGCCGCTGCCCAATCAGGGACCGTGACTAAATTCATCCCTAGCGAATACTACATTGATTTCCACGCTCCAATTCCGTAAGCTCCTTCGATACGATTCACACAGGATCGCAGGGCTGATTTCTATGGGATAGTGGTTCTGACCTGTTTACCAACTTTCAAATTGAGGCCGAAGAAGAACTTTCACGACATCCAGAGTTGACCTGGACCCTCATCAGAGTCGGAATATTTCTTGATCATCTAACTATGCCATACAACCCCAAGAAAACATATATTAGTCCATTCTGGGCATTTGTTGATGTGGACCACGAACAATGTGTCTTTCCTGGCGATGGGTCACAATCACTTGTACTTACGCACTCAACAGACCTCGCGGCGTATATTGAGCGTTTAATAGGACTCCCGGCCAAGGACTGGCCTAGGGAATCCCTCATCGCATCCAACAGACTGCAAGTGAAAGACCTCGAGACTCTAATTAAGAAGGTTACAGGTATAAAATAGGCCCACATTCAAGAATATTTGGCTAAGATTTCTGATAAGAAAAGTAGGAAAGAATTTTGAGGTCACATATGACTCTATAGAGTCGATCCATAAGGGTCGCATCACACCTTTGCCTTCTAACCAGGCCGTGTTTAAGGATCCAGTCAAAGGTGAATTGCTTCATCAAGTTGAAATACAGGTTATGCTTTCAATGTTAAGCAACGCGCATGAGCTGCCCGGGAAGGACCTAGCTCAGGTTTTTCCTAACGTCCAGAAAACGGAGATTGAAGAGTTTTTAAGAGCGGGCTGGAAATTGAAGGAAGGCAAAATGGCGTGATAGTTATCCCTACTTGCATGAAGACGAAAATGTGCACACGTCTTTAAGCTCTTCAGCCTTCAATTTTGGAAATGCTAGAGGATTTGCGAAAGAAGCTCTGATGCGTGCAGTGCCATAGCCGCAGAGTCTAAACGAACAGCAGGGCGTCAGATTTGTCAGAATTAGCTAGTGCGTTACAGTAAAGATCACAACTACGGTGAATCGTCAGCACCAAACTGGAAAAGTTGGTCATCTATGACCCCCTATTACTCCATGGCAGCAGCTAGCCAGGATATTATGACGTGACATGGCACGGCATTAGGTTTCGATAACGGCAGTTGAGTGGCAACCGCCGCTTCGATTGATCCAATAGCACTTGAAGAATATCCGCTAGACTCCTCTCAGATACAAAACAACAGTAAGGGCATCCAGTCTGCGAATTCTCGGTTATGCAACACACCAGAATTTACTCCTTTATCACACTTTGTGACTTGACCTCCCAAAATGAGTGAATTTCCTCCGCCTATTGATCCGTCTTACGTACCGTCCGTCTCTCTGACGAGAGTTCATGCGACGACGTCAATTGAAGACCTAATCGCCGTGCTAGAACGAGATGGTGCCCTTATCCTGACTGACGTTGTTTCAAGTCAAGATATATCTGCGATCAACGACGAACTTGAGCCTTACATTCAGAAGGCTCAGGCTGAAACTCACGCTGCCTATGATTTGATTCCGAGACAAACGGTGATGGTTCCCGGTGTTGTAGGCAAATCACCGACAATGGCCAGGATTGCCGAACTCGAAGTCATTGACAAACTGCGGACCTCAATCTTGCAGAAAAAGTGCACTGCAACCTGGGAAGACCGGATAGAAGAGTTCACCATTGGCCCTCTTTTGAACAGCAGTTTGACATATCATATCAGCTACGGTGGCCCACGTCAGAGATTGCATAGAGATGATATGATCCATGGGATATACCATAGCGCCGAGTACGACTTGGCAGACGAAACGATGCTTGGATTCATGATTGCTGGGTCTAAAACTACCCGCGAGAATGGAGCGACGATGGCTATTCCTGGTTCTCACAAATGGGATCATGCTCGGGCTCCTAGAACTGATGAAGTTTGCTTTGCAGGTAAGTCAATTCTGCTTTTACTCTTTTCTTTTGCACGAGAAAGATCATATTTCTAACGAATGTGATAATTTAGAAATGGAACCAGGTTCCGCATTCGTCTTTCTCGGCACGGTCTATCATGGCGCTGGTAATAACTCTGTTCCTGGCCAAGTGCGTAAGCTCTTTGGTTTGTTCTTCATCCAAGGTACATTACGTCCAGAGGAGAATCAGTTTTTGGCAATTCCACGAAGTAAAGTACTCGGAATGAGCGAAAAGATGCTCTCCATTCTTGGTTACAAGAAACCAGATACGTGGCTTGGTATTGTGAATAACGGCGATCCGGCAGAGAACCTCGAGGAAGTTCTTCATACAGCTAACTGTTAATGTTTTATGGCTTTTCTTTCGGCACGCCACAGTACAGACTTAGTATGCCGTTGCTAGTACTAGAGATTTACACTGTAAGATGTCAATAACATAACGCTCAAGTATGGTCCGCGGTAGCGAAGTAAAATCAAGCCACAGATCACGAGATTTGGCAGTGAATTGATGATATGGATAATAGTCTGCTCCTGCAAAATGTAGAAACCATAAATAGTCTTCTCTCGGCTATTATCTCGCAGTGATTTACTGCCTCGGTTCTGTTGTATCAGCTGGTTAGTCCATTGTGGGATCATTGCGCACAGCGTGTATTGCTGTATGTGCTGGTCATTCTGAGACTTAGTAAAGCATGAGAGCTCATTGAGCCCGTCAGGAGTCTTCAAATGGAACCTACCGAACTTAAGTTCCCGGATAGCCAGAACAACCACCAATTATCTATAGACGGAATACTATACAACACTTATCGTGTCGAACCCGAAATGTGCATTATTATAACATAATCACTGATGTGTCATAGCAGTCTGTCAGTAATCGTTTCAAGAGTGCTGATGCAGAAGAGCATATGGAATTTCTGTGGTAGAACACAGATGGAAGCATCATCCATACCATCCATACTCCCGCTGCACCAGGGTTGCGCAGACAAAGCCTTATAATCCACTCAATGAAGTAATACCTCACTAACTAGATTGGGGTAATTATTTCATAATATTGGTATTTCTGGCAGACCCTTTGTGATTCCATACTTCGCATAGAAAATTGTTGGTGTATAAGAAGTAGCACCATATGTGAGCTGTTGTTTAGCACTTCCCCCTCAACACCGATCCGAACTTCAGGTTCTTGGAAATTGCCATAGCAGTGACTGCCGCTAACATGAAACCTCCAGCAAAGATCCAAGTGCCCTGAAAGTCTCCTTGCCCAGCTGCGGTCGAGTCTCCTTGAAATTTCTGCGCCGCGCCACCGATGGGGTTACCAATCAGAGCTCCTATGCTGGCAATCGTGTACCCCATACCCATTCGCGTACCGTATTCGGAGAGTTCCTCTGTTAGATTTGCAATCGTAGCAGGTGGCAGTGACACCATGCCGCCTGACACGAAGCCATACACAATCGATACAATGATGAGGCCGGGAAGGTCATGGGCGAACCTGAACAGGAACAAGATGATAGCGGACCCAAGGCAACAGGGAAGCATTATATTCATCCCTCCATACTTATCTGCCAGCCAGTTTGGCACGAGACGGCCGAACAAGCTAGCTGCATTCATCATGCTTAGTACGTAGAAAGAAGTATCGGGATCCACGCCTAGACGAATGGCATATGCATCAACGAAGAAAAATGGCACATAGACGGAACCAATCATGAGTGCAAAGGCTTTTGCTTGGATCAGCATTGAGAATGACGAACTGGAATAACTCTCTCTTACCGATGCAGAATGCCACGTAAGGCGTGTCACGGAAGTGCTTGAGGCGAAACAGAGCGCCACGGCGCTTCAGATTGGGTCTCAGACGCATGATGGCCAGACATATCAGTAAGAGGGTGGTGACAACAAAGGCAAAGATGCGGACAGCCCAAGGAAAACCGATGGAAACTATAAGTCGACGCTCCATTATGGGATATACGATGCCAGCTATTCCATGTGAGAAGATGTAACCGTGAAGTACTATCAAATGTTTTGTCTTACCTAGACTGCTGCCCGTGGCAGCAATGCCCGTTGCCACCATCCGTTTCTTTTGGAAATATAGAGGAATAACAGCCACGGATGTCAAGCCGAGAAGCCCGCTCCCCGTCCCAACGCAGAACGCCTGCGCCAATAGGATCTGCCAGTATTGCGTACACAAGCTGAGCATAAATAGTCCCAAGGACGTCAATGCTGTTCCGCATATCAAGATAAATTGCAGGTAGCCGGCATCGAGGAGCCAGCCTGCGCATACGCCGATGAGCATCATCAAGAATATCTGTATAGATCCGATCCAAGCAACAGCTGAAGGACTAGTATCTGGTAGCAGCGTCGTCGTATAGTAGGCCTGGAATACACCAAACGAGTTGGACAAGCCCCTAAAAAAGACTTAGCTGATGAGCGCGACCTAAAACAACGCCCGGTGCACATTTCAGGGGTGTTACTGACCATGTATTGGCGAACAAAATCCAGCAGCCAAGTACCTGCAGCCACGCCCGGAGACCATGATCCATTTGGAGCTCTCCTGCTGCATCTTGCTTTTGTTCGTTGACGTTGATGACTGCTGGTTGTGTCGACCCGTCCTCCTTTGGGATGGAATACCTACCATCAACAGCATTGCTTGTTCTACTTTTGCCCTCCATCTTGTAAACAAATGGAACACATATGGGGAAATAGGAATTACGAAATGAAAAGTAGACGGTTGTGCATGGCAATTTAAACCGTCCAAAAGCGGCACAGGTGGTCCAGCCAACTACGCCAAGTGATGCAGCCCTATACATGTGGTTAGATCCAGCCGTCCTCGGCCCACTCCGGCGTCAACATCGGCGAGCGACTCCACAGGTGGGACCTAGGCAAGGAGCGGCATATTATGTAAAAGGACAGGGAACAGGACCCTGAAGGACCCTGAAAGCGGCGGGAGCACCCAACGGGGTAATCCGAAGATAAACTGCCCATAAACCGTTTCAGGGGTTCAATGATCATATCATCATGAGACACTACACAGGCAGCAACCGGTCCATTATAACGGCACTACTGGCAGAATACATTTGAAGTCAGCAGTCAGATTCTAAAGTGACTGGCGGTTAGTATGTGCCACGGCCTGCACGAAAGGTCAGGATAGTCCGAACCAATGGTCGATTATACTCGACGTTTCTCAGAGCTTTTGGCCCGTCCGGCTTGCTTTCACGGGAAGCCCAGCAAGGTCTGGCATTGTGACCCTTGACATAGGAGGCCTGCCATGAGACCTTCTCTAGGTATTGTCGGAGTCTCGGGGGTCTGTAGATGCATAGTAGTATGCTCTAGGCCCTCCCAGGATCTACCAAGATGCGACAGATGACTGCAGATTTCTCATTCGTATTCTAGTTTTAGGTGACTGTAGACCACCAGACTGCACGCCAAGCTATGATGGGAGCCGAACTCCACCACATTAGAGCCTGCGGTAATCTAAGGTAAGAGGGGTCAGTCATGTAAGCCGTGACAAATTAGGTGATTGTTGCTCTGACGAGGCTGGTGGGAATGGCCTATAAGTGTAGAACTGTTGCACATGAATCATTGTCGTCCTAGGTAGTCCTCGGTAGAACAACTATCGTCTGTTACTAGACTACTTGAAATGGCTTCCAAAATATTCTGTAGAAGCTCTAACTGGACTTCGAACGTCCACAGAGCTGCTAGCCTGAGAACCTTCGGTAGGTATACCCTTCACCTGTTAATCATGCCAGCGACTGATCGGCGAAGCTACTGTCGTTGCTGCTCCTCGTGGCTCCATGATCAATGAACCTGTCCGCTTCCCGTATGAAGCACAGTATTCATCAGTGATTGAGAGCAAGAAAAGAGACCAATCATACCGTTACTTTCGAAATGTCAACCGCCTCGCCCGCGAGTTTCCTCTCGCACATTCGGCCGAGGGTAAATCGATTAACGTTTGGTGTACGAACGACTATGTGAGTAAATGTCCATACATCCAGCAGCACCATTTAGAGACTGGCAGGATGACTGACTGTTGCACAGCTCGGCATGGGAGGAAACCCAGAAGTGTTGCAAGCGATGCACGCAGCGCTGGATAAATATGGTGCTTGCTCGGGCGGGTCACGAAACATCTCGGGACACAACCAGTTTGCCGTGTCGTTGGAGAAAGCCTTGGCCAAGCTTCACCGCAAAGAGGCGGCACTCTACTTCAGCTCGGGGTATAATGCCAACGATTGTGCTCTCACGGTCTTGGGGCAACAGCTTCCCGGGTGCGTCTTCCTTTCAGATGCGTCCAATCACTCTTCCATTATCGAGGGTATCCGTCATTCAGGGGCGAGGAAGTCTGTATGGCGGCACAATGACCTTGTTGACCTGGAGAGCAAGTTGGCTGCTATCCCACTAGGAACGCCCAAGGTCGTTTGCTTTGAATCTATCTACTCTATGTGTGGCACAGTCGCTCCAATCGCCGAGGTCTGCGACTTGGCAGAGCGCTATGGTGCCCTTACCTTCCTTGACGAAGTCCATGCCGTCGGCCTTTACGGTCCGCACGGGGCTGGTGTCTCAGAACACCTTGACTTTGACGCCCATGTGTCCGGCTCTGCCTCGTCAGAGCGCACGGTATTGTCCCGTATTGACATCATTTCGGGAGCGCTAGGTAAAGGCTTCGGCACTATGGGCGGCTACGTAGCTGGCTCCAAGGACTTGGTCGATATGATTCGTTCGCTCTCGCGTGGGTTCATTTTCACAACGGCGGCGGGCCCGGCGACCATGGCCGGTGCGGAAGCGGCCATTAACTTCCAGCGCCACAATCCCCAAGACCGTATCCAGCTCCAGCGCAACACGCGCTTGGTGAAACAACGGCTTCTTGAGCATAAGCTGCCTGTTCTCCCCAATGCCTCGCACATCATTCCCCTCATGGTTGGCGATGCTGCACGCTGCAAGATGGCAGCAGATAGGTTGTATGACGACTATGGCATCTACGTTCAGCCCATCAATAGCCCCAGCGTGCCTGTGGGCCAGGAAAGACTTCGCATCTCACCCACCGCCGCCCATACGAAAGAGCACCAGGACATCCTGGTTAGCGCGTTGGCCAAGATCTGGGATCAGCTAGGGCTGAGGCGGCTGGACGACTGGGCCAAGGACGAGCGGGGACAAGCTGTGGAGGGGTGGGAGACCTCAGGCCTGGACGCGGCTGTGTGGGGGAGTGAGCAGTTGGGCCTCGCTGCTTCCACGCCTAATCGGCATGGTAAAGGGTTCGTAGCGCAGCATTTGGCCGCCGAAAGGTTTGTGTTGGAAGATTCGTTACTGGCGTCGAAGTGAAGAATGAGCGCCTGAAGATGATATATGTCCTAATCTTCAAGGAGTTTCGCAATGTTGTTCTGCGATTGAAATTGTCTCGTTGACTCCATTGTGCATCAGTAATCACCTGTCTTTGGCTTGATAGAAGTACAGCAGCTTTCAGCATGAAAAAAAATCGAACCAGCTTAGAAACCTGGGATAGGACCTCGCGGAGCAAGTTCTGGTGTAGTATCCAGTCGGCTTTCCCCAGTGACGCGAAGAAACTACAGTAAGCGTAACTATATCCATCACTCTTGATCTAGCAGACCATCAGTAAGAACTCATTAGATCTGAGGATACAAAGAGTGGTATGTGTTGGTCCTGACATGAGTTTTTAGGTAGTTAATGCAGCAGCTAAAACGGCATCACGGTGCAGCATCCGTATATGGACATTGTGGATGCATGCCTAGTTTCCCGCCTTCGGGCCATTTCTGCTCAGACACACTAGCCTCCCGGATCGTTCCCCGGCCCGTAGCGCGCCAATGTGCTCATTTTCCATGATGGGGCCAATCCTTGCGGAATGGCCAGGGTCCCAGGGGAAAGTACCATACAGCCTAGAGATGCTAATCTAAACCGAATTTAAGTAGATCTCGAGAAATCGTGAGAGCTTGCGTGACAGTATTGTTCATCTATCAGTGTCAAAGCCCTGCCCGCCGAATGCAGCCCATGATGCGGCTAGGGATCTTGGATTTTATGCCGGGACCTTCTTCGCCAATGCCTTCAAAGCACGTAAGTTGTAGCGCCATTACGCCCCACCATCGTCTCTCACTGGCACCTCCACTTCGGCCTGGATGATCGTAGTCTAGAAAAATTATCCAGCAAGTGGATCGCCACAGAAAGAAACAAGTGTGGTCAACGATGCCTTACCCCGAGGAGTCATATACTCTTTGAAACGAAAGTTTCACCGTAGCACTAGTGGTTTAGTGGTAAAATCCATCGTTGCCATCGATGGGCCCCGCGTTCGATTCGCGGCTAGTGCATCGATTTCATTTTTGTCTCTGACTGTGCTGATACTATCTGTTCTAATGTTTTGTACTATGTAATCAATTGCTTTGCTCTTTTAACGACGGGTCCTGGGGTGCAAACCAAGCCAGGTCGGGCGGTCGTATTAGCTTATATCCCCATGATAAAGTTGGAAAATTGTCTGCTTTTCAAAATCCCAATTTACTTCCGTTTGTCTAGTCCTGCTATTGAAGGTATTATTGTCTGCTTCCTGCAGGAAGAGGACCTGACAATGGTAGTCGCGTAGACAGGGTGTTTTCCTCATCGGTCAGACAATAGACTGTATGAACATGACTTGCTGGGACCTTTCAGCTCGGTACCTCACTACGACAAGCAATCAAAGTCAGAGCTGTCTGCATTATAAGAGCACCTGCCGGATCAGTAACTTGTGTACACCTTCAGCCAACAGCTCAGTGGTAAAAAAAAAAAAAAAAAAAAAAAAACCCTGTCTCTGCTCAGGACAGACAACACAGGGTCAGCTTCAAGATTGAGCTACCTTACAACGTGTCTCTCAAGTCCACATTTCTTAGGAGCGATATTTAGAGCAGGTCAAGCTGCCCATTATAAGCTTATATGCCCCAGGAAACAATGAACGGACTTATCATAAGTGGCAGGAAGTATGGCTGTTATAAGTGTTGTAAGACTTCACAATATTAATTATTTAGGGATCTCTTTCAAACGGGAGATCTGGATTAGTTTCCTTAATATTGAGTCTCGGGTTGTGCGCTTATACAACTGGCTTAATATGGCTTTACATCCTGTTTCCTTTCCTGTCATATACTAGGGCGTGTGAACATCAGAGCGATAAAGCTTCTCTTACTCATAATCCGCCACTACGTTCTGGCAATTGTCAATCACTACCGTACGTCTTATAGAAGGTGCTAGTCTTTTGATTTGACGTTTCCCATAGATAAGGCATGTTGGATTCATCGTCGGTGGCGAAGACTACCTTGGGCTGAAATGGGCTTTTTGGTTTCTTATTTTCTTGGAGTGCTACTGCAGCTTAGTATATGAAGGTCAATATTAGTAGATATGAACACCGAAACCTGTTAAAGCATTGTTTTTAACAACCGAGCGTGTAGTGTAGCCAGCGAGATACACCTTTGATGCCGTGAACTGTACTGTACCTTCAGTCAGTGCCGAAACTAGCCTCTATCTGGTTGCTGGTTCTATAGCTCGCTTTGCTGCTCCATCCTATCACCTGCATAACCATATTCATTAGATTCATTTGGCGAAAGATCATGAAAACCTCATCATAATGTACTAAAATTGGACTGATTCGTATCTCTTGGCGATAGTTGGAAGGAGGGTTCCGTAATCTATGGCTTTGAAGGAGAACGGCGTCTCCGCAACTCTTGGAACCTTGCGAAAGGATGAGATATCGACTTACTCATCAAGACATAGTATTGGTTTGCGGTATATACCGAGGCGCCAGATTCTATTCAGTGAAAGCGAATTTCTAGCACATAAACGTTTCTACTGAACTCCATAGGTGGTATAATTCAATCATTTTATTCTCCACGAGCAGCCAACCAACCTCAGCTACTGAAATGCGAACCTGGACTCAATCTTGTTGGCAACTCAAGCAATTGGAATTTTGATGGCATGCGCACTCTCTGGGGCCGCTTAGGTATGTACCAGGACGCTGTCAACATCTTCTCTGGTACTGACAGTCATTCTCAAGCAGCCCTCACACCCGGCTTCTTTGCCACGATAGCGCACTAGGACGTCCGACTTATTGGTTAGTGCATTGGAAACCGCCATGGCGGCGGCAATGTCGGAGATCCCTCCCAGGTCCGCAGGTTCACTGAGAACCGGACCAGCAGGAATTCGGTGACCAGCCACCAACGACACCGCCCACCCCAATGATATCCAAAAAGTCCTCACAAATCAAGAATCATGTTGTTTAATCCTATACTTAACGGGCCTCCATAATTTCTATTCGCGTCTCGAACTGCCAAGCGGGCATATTGTGCAAGGGTCTGCGTTAAGGGTGGTCCTGTGACCGACCCCGGGGGCAGATAGCTGACGTCCTCCAGCCAAGCTTCGCTAGAGAGATTCATGTAGGCATTTTGTAAGCCCGATTAGTTGCCAACGAAACGGCGTAGGTACACCCAGAAAAGTTCGTCGTTACGTTAGGTCAATTATATACCATTTCAACACTGTTCATTAAGATTCGTACATAGGGATTGGTCAAGGAGCAATATCAAGCCACTCGATATTGAAGGCTGCTGTTTACGGGGAGCCGTAATATACATTGCATTTTCGTTGCTATAAATCGATTCTGTGCGCGTAGTCGTGTCTGTGTTGTGTGTTGCTGGGTTGGGGGTTGGGCGGGCAGGGAGAATTGATATTTTATGCGTGGCTAGAGATAAGCCGCAATATAGAAGTATTTGCGATATCCAGAGCTTCATGGCCGTTGAACCAAGGTTTGGTTGACTAATTTGATGGGAAAAGCTTTTTTATTTTGAACCGAAAGACGAGATCGAGCTCGGAGGTAATTGAAGAAACGGTAAACTTGTGGAGGGAGCAAGGTACTCCGTGGATTGTGACACAGAATTAGGCACCGCTCCCATGCACCAATTATAGCTTTGAACAATCTAGAAGCGGCCGTGGCGAGATTTTATCAGATCACCCACCAGCTGCCTTTGTAAATCCTTTTCACACTCCAATACGTAAGATAACTTGATGAGAATGATGTCCTGTGCAGAAACTGTTAGTTGCCAGTATTTACTGCCACATTTTCGAAAACTTTTCAGGAATTTCAGATACTTTTGCTAGCACTGACAACGACAGGGAGTGGCTGGAGAATCATATATACAGAAGTTGTCTACTAGGCTTAGAGTCGCCTAGAAAGTGAGGTTCTGGGTGCCGAAAATGGAGGCACGCATGCTAAGCTCGGGTAGTGTGGCTTGGTTCGGGTGGCTTAGTGTGGCGTTGCGTTTTATTTATATAGTTTTCTTTGTCATGTGTGGATTCTAACAAGATAACGCTCCTTTCACCTATATAATTAGCCCCAGCGTTCTGGCGACCGATAAACACTTTCATTATGCACTTTACGGGAGGTATTATTTTTCTGATCAGTTAGGTCCTATTAGACAAAGCACGTTAGATTCGTCGGTAATGGCGTTTAAGACTGCTTTGGCTGCTTTGGCTGCTGTGGACGTTCTGGGACAACACTGTCCTGGAGCACCACTCCAGTTCAATGCCAAAAGTTGGGTCTAAAAATAGGAGATAGTCCTAAAACAGGGGCCAAACGTGCCCACACTAGTGCCACATTTGGCCTTGAAATAGTCTTGACTTAGAAACGGCAGCTATATGAATTCAACAACACGAAAGTTATATTCACCATACCAATTGCTATACTTAGCCTATTATTGTGTGGCATTAACTTGCCTTGACGAGCATTCTAACGCCTATCAGAATACCTTCATAACGACCCCTACCGACTATAATATGCTTATTAAACACTTGGGCTAGTCGGTAATCCACTCAATTAAACCATGCAGCAAGGCTGCAGTTATGTATCTTGCCCATGTGCCCAGTATTGATCGTTTTCCTTTTTCCTCTGGGCAAATTGATAGCGCTTACTCCGCTTTATGGCGTGCTCCTACAAGTATCTATCATTTGCGCGTTCGTGCAATCTGCAGTGACCTTCGAAGCGGGCTTTCAAGATTGCAAAGATGCAAAGAGGGTACTTTAAAGAAGACAAAATCTATAAACCGAATCCCCAGATATGCAACTGATATCGATAGTTTCTAATCCGCAAGCTATTCACCGTCAAAATGGATCGTAGCCCAATGTGGCAGCGTTAAAGTTGTTCAGATCATCATCCCCAGGAAATTCCGCATCATAATCTTCGTCCGGGTCCGACCAAGAAATATCTCTCTTGGACTGGTCGGAGTCCGTCAGGGTACCGTTCAGGTATTCCAGGTCGTCATTATCCCCCACAACGCTCATTTCGGGACCTCCATTCTCGTCCGACCAAAGCAGAGCTCGCTTGGATCCGTTGGTGCCCTTGACCCACGCCTTCTTGTAGTCGTACTTGGTTAACAGCGAGGGGTTCTTGATGTAATGCTGGGCAAAGTGTTGGACGGTATATCCAGGGTCATCCTTTGCTCTGACCTTGGGCCAGCAAGGGTTCTCACTCAGCCCGTCATCCTTGGACTTGGGAGGAGTGGTCTCGTGCTCCCATTTGGCAATGGTGAACTCGGGTCTCACATCGACGGTGATCCCCACCGTGTACTCAGTTGATGCTTCAGGCCATCGGGTTAGTTAACTATTTTACCAGGCCGCTAGATATATTCTCATAACTCACTTGGATTTACAAAATTCTTCTTGTAGCCAAAGTTCTTTTTCGCGTCCTTGGCTCTAGCGACAACCTCCTTGGCTGTCATGGAGTCCAGCATGGGTGTTCTGAAGCATATGCCCGCCCACATCCCGTTGGCGGCGTTCCCATTCTCCTTGTCTGGAAGCAGACGCACCAGCTGGCCCGTGTTATCGCTGCCACCCTGCTTGATAGCGGTATCAGTCTTGCTGAGCAGATACATGGGCGGGAACTCGTCGACTTGGCATTCTTGTTGGTACTCGATAAGCTTGCTTCCGGCCGCACCCGTCTTATCCCACCATCCGAGGTCTACCTTCTTGTTCTTCTTGGGATGCCGCGCTTTCCACTTGCCCACGGCAGGGGAATGGAAGCGAGGTTTCTCGGTCACGGCAGCCTCCGGAGGGCAGGTCAGAGTCTTCCATGCCGGTTGGACGCTGATGGCCGAGCTGTAGTGGTAGCAAGCCTGGGACCACTCCTTCTTGCAAGTGGCCTTGATCAGTGTGGGTTTGGCGTTGGCGCTATAGCTGAGCGATGTGATCTTGAACTCATGGGTGACGGTGGAACCCTGCTGGTTACACTCGGTCGAGACGAACACGTTGTAGTTTTTGCCCTTGTCTTTCTGCATGACGTCCCCAACCGCACGTTTGCAGGCTGCCGTTGAATAAGTGGTAGTTGCTGTCGTCGTCTTGGCAGTGGTTTGTTGAGTAGTTGCCTGGGTCACCGTCGGCTTCGTCACCGTTGGCTTCGTCACAGCCGGCTTCGTCAGAGTAGGCTTCGGTTTATCTGGCACCTTGGGGGGTGGCTTGCATGTTCCTTTGCCCTTAGGGATCTTGCAGCCCACGCTCGTCCCAATGGAGTCGGGACTGGCGACCAAGGTTGTGAACATGGTCATGAGGTCAAAGCTGTAGTCAGGCACACCACAGGCGTCACCGATCCAGTTTCCAAAGAAGGACGACGCTTCCAGGCCATTCTCCGTAAAGGTCTTGGCCCCTTGCACGAGAGCGCGCGCTCCTTGGAGTTCCGCACCCCCGGGAATCGCGAAAATCCCAACTTCGACGATCGCCTGCAGCGCGGAGAGCATGGCCGCGCAAAGGATGTTATCGAGTTTAGAGAGCCCCTCAGCTACAATATCGAAAATGTTCTCGGTAAGGCCTTCGATGGTCGGATCGTTGCATTTGCATTTACAAGGGACGTAGATATATCCTTCCTCATCTTTGAGGGTGGCTACGGTAAGTGGTTGCTTGGTGAAATCAACATCATTATATGGACTATAATCGCACTATTGTGTTCACCGAGTTAGCCAGGCATGATACCTCCAGCGCCAGCGGCGGCAACGAGCGGGCTAGAAGACTCACCATAGAGAAACCACTACCCCCATGATCAGCACAGTATTTGATACAGGATTTACCGCCTTTGTCCCAGTTAGGTCGTGCGGAGCCCTGGCCGAAATAATACATGCATGCGCCCGTCTTCTCATTGCTGGCGAGAACTTGTGCGTCGGTATTCTGCCGTCGCACGACGAACGAATCTTTAGCGATGGATCGTGCGAGCGTATTAAAAAATTGGCCGCTGCCATATAGCCACAAAAGGGTAGCACGCATCTTTATGGCGAAGAAGGGGACTTCGAAAGCAGCCTCGAGCGTAGAGTCTTCTCAAAGCAGGGATGAAAACAGCGATGGGGATGGAGGTGGTGATACTACGAGCTGCAGCCATGGATGGTTGCGCAATCTGATCCATCTTATACTTCGGGTGTATCATGAGATGCTGTACAGGTCTCAGGCTTTCTTTACCAACGCTGATTCATCGTCTTGAAGGATGTCCTGGAATTATTCCTTCCATAAGCCAAAATAGCATTTCCTTTTCTCAAATCTCATGATCTGAAGCTAGGCTATGCTGACAGCTTTCCCCTATTTTTAACGGATGGCGGTGCAAATCAGGCATAACCCCCCCCCCCCCCCGGCCCGGGACACCACGTTGGGAGGCCAATGTTGAAACATGTGATATACAAGGCCGACTGTAACCAACCTACGTATATCATGATCTATCTCAATTCGTTCCATCAGAACTCTGCGAGGCCACGGTATGTATGTATGTAGAGTCCTAGGCATGATCCAAGTCGCGAGCTTCTTAGTTCACCAAACCCTCTAGTCGAGTTCCTGTTCTCTGCCAAGAGCCGTGCCGCATAGAATATCGGCACGCTGACCGCTTAGACCATGATCACTATTTGAGGCGATTCAAATCACTACGCCTCCCAACAGCGATAGGATTTCAAGTTGGGCCACTTCCGTGCCGCAATTCTCCACATGGCCACATTGGCGCCGCTCGCGAGGAGAGGATTCAGGTCGGCCCCAGCTCTGCCGTAATCCTGGGCTGGTGGCTAAGTGCATCGACGTTGCATCAGATACGCGCCGGCAGACTCAGCCAAGGAAACAAAGCCGACCTCTAAAGAGGAAGATCTTTTGCGGAGCGTGTCCGTACCGGAGTGTGCCTGGTAGGTTTCGCGCCAGCCGTTGTTACTTAGTATTGTTGTAAGCTTGGTCGGCGTATATCGCGTGGGAAACCCCGCAGCACGAAATGGGACCAATTCAACTAATATCCTGTCAACATCTTCTGCCACTACTCTGTTTACTTTCGGGCGAATTCAAACACTCTTTGAAACTGGGTAGCACTGTAGTCTGCATTTAAGGCAAGTTGCAGTGTGATGCAGGCCTTTTCAGGGTTATTGACCCCCCACCGTAGCCACCCGAGTCCCTCGGCTCCTCGTACCCGTCCATAGTCTGACGAAAACATAACGGCTATTGGACTCGTGCAAAGTGGCTTGGCTATAGCTTAGCAAACAGAACTGTGGCGTTTGTATAGCAAATGTACTTTATGCCGTTTCCTTTCCTCGCGATAGATTTCGAAGGTTAACTCAGCCCTTATTTTTTTAATTGTACCTATATGTTTTAAGGTTGATCCACCCCCGGCTGCTGCGCCTTACCCCAATTCCTGGATTACCGACCTAACCAACACGCCCACTGCTGCTATAAATACATGGCTATCTATGGAGCCGTGACATCAACCCCTTGCTACGCCGTCTGCTTCCCGTTTATAAACTCTGCTCCCAGGTCCATCACCAAGTCACGCGCCACTTCTTCAGGTACCTTAAGCGTCCGCACGTCATCCTTCCCTCTCAGCGCTCCCGCTGTCAAAACCCCATACGCCACCAAACACTACCGCAGCCATGCCGCAGCTTCGCGAAATCAGTTATTCGCGCGATCTTACCATCGCAGCCGTTCGCGACTACTACAAGTTCCTCGTGTCTATGTATGTCTCCGAGTCCGAGGTCGTGCAGCCCCCCGAGTCCGGCTGGCCGAGCATCACTACGGACAACTTTGGGGCCTTGGGCAAGGCCGCCGAAGCCCTGGAGCTGCTGCGCCATCTCCCGTACATTCTGGATCGGGGCAACGGCACCCAGCCTGAAGCGGCGCCAGGCGCGCACTTTGTGGACTACCGTCTAGAGAGCATGGCCGACAGTCTGCGCCAAGGCGGCGACGAGGTGGAAAGTATCAGGATGAAAACGGACGGCGCCGATACCTGGCAGCAGACACCTCCCCACGTCATCGGTCTGTGTTCGGCACCGCATGGCGGCTACTGCTTTCTGCTGGATACCAAGGCTGGCATCATCTACTGGGTCCACTGCCCTGCGTGGGTTCACGAAAACCCTTCGTGGGAACCTGTCACGGAACAAGTCGAGTCACCGGACCAGGAGGAGTTCCGATCAAGCCCGGCCTGGGCGGTGGAAGACTTCTTCGAGTTACTGAAGGACCAGTTTCGGGCGCTCGTCTTCCTGCCGACCACCGAGGAAACCGTCATAGAAACCCATCAAGTTGTCACGGACGAGGAAATGGATGCCCTGCCTGTTGTCCAGGGCATCTACAAGAAGCATGGCTGGCCAGACCTGGGCACTTTTCAGAAAGACGCATGCCTAGAGGTAATCGAGCAGTACCTGGAAGAAAACTGCCCAGAGCTCCTTCAATCGTCATAACTACGGCGCAGCGGCATGCGACGCTTTCGGGCTGGGTGCCGTAGTCTATAGGCAGTTTCAGAGACGGGTTGAGGAGATGGGTAAGGACGAGTTATCAACACGTACAATGACAAAGCCAAGTCGAACCCTTCAGTCACCTGGAACTCGAATTTGCCATTGGTGATGGTCATGACCCCGGAGCTCATTGATGGGAAAGACTACATACAATTTGCATACGGCTTGCAGCGACGGAAATCAATTGACAGCCTTTGTGGTGTTGGCGATTTTACCACCACTGGTCTTCCACGCGTAAGATACCCCTGGTTAGTACCTCTACTCGATCCTGAACTGACAGCCAGAACAGGCTCGCGACATGGACTGCCACTTTTCGTGCTAGATAATTAACAGAAGGGTTTGCACTTCACACGGTTTTCACCTTAAAATAACCGTCTTTTCGTGCTGCCTATATCAAATAGCAGAGATGTATTATTTTTACATGCCTATACGAGAATTGTAACAGGGCTTGAACACGGGCATATATTATACAACAGCGTAGTTTGCGAGGGTGTCAACATAAAATGACGGCAATCGACACCAGTGTCTAACACTCCACTCCCAAAAACACACGCTGTCAAATACATGTGCGATAAATAATATCAACCAACCATCACGACTGAGCTCCCTCCTCTTTTTGGACAAAATATCCACCTTAACTCCTCATCGATGCAGATTTTCGTGAAAGCCTGCATGTTCTTCAGGTGTGAACGAATTGTGCAGTGGCCTCCTGTTCCTAAACGAAGCATCGACAGCCTCTGCACTGACACTATAGAAAAAGGGGGGTTATTGAACTTCCTGAACTTAAGATGCTCTAAAGTAGCAATTCCTAAAGCGGCAAGGCGTCATTTTCAACAGGTACAGCACTAGTGGTTTAGTGGTAAAATCCATCGTTGCCATCGATGGGCCCCGCGTTCGATTCGCGGCTAGTGCATGAAAATATCAGGACCTTATTTTTAACATCCTACATTTGTTTTTCGGTTAGAACGCTTCCCAAATTCCTTTTGCCTGTTGAATTATCGCCATGATTATATTTATAGTTCATCTTTGTACGGATGAAGCGAACGGAGCCTACCTGTACATAACTTGCTCACACTGTGGAGCGGATGCTAAGCAGCTCCCCGTCTTCGCGGCGAGGCGAGTTATGCAAGCCCACACATTCTCTGAATGACTCTACTTGGATTTCTTGCATCAAGATGATGCTATATGAGACACGCGTAAGTTTCTTCTCGTTACAATGTCGAGAAAGATTTAAAGGGAGAGGGCTAGCACCTACAGGTAATAGTATATGGACAGCACAGAAGTTATCGAACCAAATCGTACTATAGAGAATATTATTACATTTTTACTACGGGAAAATATGACCGTAATTCGCTGCAATGCTCATAATATGGCAAAGGGGATCAAGGTACACAAATCAGGCATAGACCGCGAGGGGTGGCTTGGTTAGAGGTTACACCTTTAAGGCTTCCAGGAGGGCACATATCCGGAAGAAAGTATTTGGTGAAAGAGTGTTCGCTGGTTTCAGTACATTATAAGTACTTGAGAGGACTCTCAACCCAACGCAAGATATCAAACATGCAGTTTGCACTCTACATTCCTTCGCGATGTCGGGGGCATGCCTGCACTGCAGTCGGACTTTACAGAACGAAGTTTCCTCCACAATCAGCTACGATAAAGAAGTACTGTTGTGCCTGTCGTGGGGGGCATCAATGATAGAATCTGCTCTTCCATGACCTCCTTTTTTCCCATAAAAGATTGTTATCTACATGGCCGCATCAGCAGTGAGCAAGAACGAGACTGAGCCGGAGCTCGGCCCTGAGGAACCAGAGTTTTCATAAGAGAACTGCGCAATGTAGTCCCGGTTGTCAAAAGTGCAGTTATTATTATAGGCTCCGTTACCAGTCCATACGATCCCGATGTCGTCAAGTACCATGCCTCGGGATGAGAACGTATATAAGCCAGTTACAGATGGGGCATAGATATAGCCTTAGAATTTGCCTGAAAGTTCCCTTACCAAATGCCACTTCCGCTATCGAACCTGAGCTCCTGGCAGCATTACCTGAGCTACTACTTAGTAGATATAAGCTGTAGCCAAAATTCCCTAAGCTCGACACCACCTACCCCTTAGAAGCCTGATCAGCCGGCGAAGTTCTCATGGTCTTCGAGTTGAGCCACCTCGCAAGCCATACTCTGTTTTAAGTTCCGTTGATAGGTTTAAGTCCTTTTCCAAGCCTACGAGGAATAACGATATTACGCTCACTCCTAATGCAAACCACCAAATAGCTTGAAGACTGATAACATAGACCTTCACGAGTTGCTGCCATATGTCTGCGTCCATCATCACAATACGCCAATGTCCTTGACTAGCAAATGAATACGCTTTGCCGTCCTTCAACAGATCTCGCATATCCGGTGGTATCATATACAAGCTTTGGTCGAACGCAGCGTTGAAAATAATAGAAGAAACCGTGATGCCCCAGGAAAATCCCAACGAGCGAAAGAATGCGAATGTAGCACTGGCAGACGCCACATCCGAGTCCGGTAACGCAGTTAGAATTGCCGGTAGTATAGTCGATACGGATATCCCTAAGCCGACAGCTCCGATCAGCTCAAAGAACACCCAAGCTACTGTGCTGGTGTTACCATCGAGCCTCGTAAAAAGACCGCATCCAACAATACAGAACGCAAACGCTATGCCTTGTAATACACGGTATGACCCGAACCGACTGAGTGCCACTCCGGCAACAGCCGCGAACAGCAAGATGCCGATGGTTATTGGCAGGAAGCAAACCCCCGAGGCTCACACAGTAGTAGCGAGGACGCCTTGGAAATAAATCGGAATGAAATAGCCAACCGTTTGCATCAATACAGACGACCAAAAAGTCAGGTCAAAACCAGTCGTCGAAGTTCTGTTACCCAACAATCGCGGAGGTATGCTTGGGTTGGCGACGAAATGTTGCTGGATATAGAAAATGACCCACCCGAGGACACCGATCACTAAAGGTAGGATAATCCGTCAAGAGGACCAAGGAAACTCGATACCGCCCATGATGAGCCCAAACAATACCGTTGTGGTACTGGAAATGAAGATAATATTGTCAAGATAATCCAGGTCGCGTATCTTCATAGTGTTGCGGCCGGTTTCGACGTCCATGAAGGCGACCACCGCTATAAACGGCAAAGCAGAAATAGGAATATTGATGTAAAATATCCAACACCAGTTTTGCTCGGCCAAGGTACCTCCGATTAGAGGGCCTAGCGCAGCTGCGACTCCTCCCCAGGCCTGGACGATAGCTAAGTACTTTCCGCGATCGCGTAAGGGCACCAGATCACAACAAACAATGTCGATCAGCACATATGTCCCACCGGCGCCAACGCCTTGCACACGGCGGCCAACCAAGAGTAGAACTGGCAAGTGAGCGGCTCCAGCTAGACCACTGCCGACAATGAACAAGGCAATCGCAAATGCCAGCGGATAGCGACGACCGAAAATGTTGGCAAATTGCCCGAAAAGTGGTTGCACGGCAGAGGAAGCAAGAACAAACACATTAGCAATCCAGATATACAGTGTCGATCCTCCGATGTCTTGTACGATCGTTGGTAGAGCGGGGGGTGTGATGGTGACATCAAGAGCAGATATGAACCCCAGTAAGCCAAGAGATAACATGATGACCCAAAACCGAGTGCGGTGAGCTGATGCTGCAGACAATAGTGCGTTATAACCCGCCATACTCTTTATTTCATTTCGAGCAGGTTTACAAGATGTAAGGAACCTGCTGATTCGTTCAGACTATGCTATGAACGGCGAATAGAACCATCAATTAAGCAGTAATTGCTCTTCGGAAAGATCCTGAAATCGTTATATCGCGTTGCTGGGCTGTGGACTGCCTTTCTGCTACAAGTCGAGATGGAAAAGGAATAGATGAGTTTATGAGACAAACTTTAAACGATGATTCGTGTATCTTCATTGAAACCTGCGTTCCAAGACTGATAGGACTCTTCGGCCACCACGGGACGGAGCCAGATATTCGCAAATCGCTCGCAGGAGGTCTAATGGACACAAAATAGCTTAGGCGTGTGCCCTTGAATATTTTGAGACTATCTGTTAACCGTTGAATGAAGTTTGACGGACGATTGTTGCTCTCAGGAAAGCGTTCAGGAGTAACGGATGCGTACGGTCTGTTCCGTACAACGTGTCCCTGATTTGGTGCCTATTTTTGGCTCAACGAATAATCTTTTGTACACTGACACCGTTCCCCGAACAGGTTATTCTGTGTCGAATGGAAAGGGAAGCGGCCAGGAGTGCAGCCTGCCAAGACGCGCGGTGCTTACGAGTTCTGGGTCTCATTACTGCCAAGTGACCGGGATTTTGGACCTTTCGCCTGGAATTGACCTATAAAGCGGAACAAAGGGATGGACTGAAAGCACAAATTTACCTTCTCGGCGAGAGGAAGCAATGTTCATAGCTCCGCCCCACGGCCTATTGCGCGCTTCTAATAATAACCAATTGATGCATGCTTGCTAAAGCATGGGCAATCATGGCGACCAACACCACTCGAGAGATACAAGTAGTGATGCCGTTGGCTGCAGGCAGTCGACATCTAATTGTGATACGGCCCGCTAACCAACCCAGCAGCTGCATGGACAAGCGTTGAACCCTGTTGTAACACACAATTGCACGTCACTTAGGCTGTGAAAACTGTCTCCCGATAAGTTCAACAAACCATTTTGATTCGTTTAACGTACTATGGTGGGGTCTTGGCCGGCCAGGCTGTGGCTCATGCAGATGGAATATTGTCTGCAGTTATGCGGATGGCACCTCGCGTCGAGCCTCGTAAGGTATCACCAACCTCCTGAATGGTGTGCTTCATGATCAGGGTTGTGGCATAATTTGGCCGCAGATTGTCCATGCCATGCTGGCCATACATGAGCTATGACCTTACCTTGTCTTCAAAGCCTTGTGATAAGGAGTTTCCTCGCCTAGGTAGAGGCTTTAGAGGGGGGTATTTCCCAATAGAATATATCACTTGCAGCAGATAAGAGCAGTAAACGTAAGCTTAACGTTACATTCGTCGCCGAATAGCCTGGAAACATTGCATTGCTCTTCTGTAGCCTACATCCTTTTCTCCACGCCGCGAGCGGGCTGCCCCACAAGGACACACCAGCCGTGTTTCCGCATGTTCGTCATTACTGGTTTGTCATGCCTTTATACAAAGCCTCGGGGTTTGAATAGGTCATAAACAGAAAACTATAACGATGATGAATCGCATAGGTTGTATCATACAGCCGCTCATCAAGTCTATCGCCCTACCGTTTACTATCACATCCGGTCTGTCGGTTGGAAAAGACAATGATTTCTCCCCAAATTTGGACATGATTGGGTTCTCAGACACATTTCAATAGATATATCGCAGCAGCTCTCCAAGCTGAAGACTAATAAGTGAACGGTAGCTTTTAGAGCTTGGCCATTATTATTTAGAACAGGCTCAAGCAGGGCCTGGTTTCTGCTTCTAAGACATCTAACAAGCGGTTGGTACTAGACTATTAAATGTCTCGTTTGGAGAAAATGAAAGCCATGCTAGCTCGAGGCAAAATGGCTGAGCGATAAAAGAATGTTCGCGCTCCAGATTGTGGGGCCGACCTGACTTATAGCACATGAGGATGTGTGCTACGACGAGTTTGAGCACCACAGACGCGTAAAACCTTCCTGGGCTGAAGAGTTGTCAATCTCCCCTCTATCATTCGTAGTCTGCAGACACAAAAACATCGAAGTAAAGATGACTCACCAGGAATGTCTCCCCAAACCCCAGAATGGATACTTGAAATCTGTGTCAGTGAACTTGCTAATGCTCCGGCTACATTTCCCTACGGGGTCCCCGTCAGTATTATCCCTGATGAATCGCCAAGGCGAGAATTTCATGCTGTCAGTATAGTATCTCTCATCTGTCATCACCGCCTGCGACGGGACACATGCTACGTCGCCCGGAAAGACATGAGTTCCATCGTGAAATGTAAACGGGCTAATAACCTTTCGGCGCACGGAGATTGAATCCGAAGGATGAAGCCGGGATGATTCTTTGAAAAAGGCATCAAGCAGTGGAGCATTCTCGAGTTTTTGTATTGAAGATGGGCATGCAGAACTCAGTGTGAGAGACGGGTAGATTTGAGAGACCTCTTGCCGCAAAGCATCAAGGTAGTCTGCGTTGTCGCATATGTCTTGAAGGGCATACACAAGCGTGAGGGCCGGCTGATGGATGGCCGCAAACCACGTGCCCAGGAGAACCTGGGTAATCTTTTGGGCGGTCCACTCTTTTTTATGATTATTTGCATCGACAAAGAACTGTATGCAATCTCCAGGCTTTTCCTCTTTGGTATTCTCGAATGGCAATCCTCGCCTTGCCTGTGATAATCGCCACTCGACCAGGGGTGCGAGATGCTCGACCAAAGTCCGCACTGCTTTATGATTGCGCATCAGGACAGGCGCGAGAATGGGATGTAGTAGAGCTGGAGATAATCGGAGAACTTCGGCCGTAGAGAACAAGTCCTCTGGATACGCAAGAGCCGCATTCAGGAACTCTGGATCAGATGATAGTTCTGCACCAAAGAATACAAACGCGCTGGCCGCGGTCATGATCCTTTTGGCCATAGCGAAAGCCGGCATTTGAGCCCAGTTATCACCTTTGCGACATTCGGTGAACTCCTTTCCAATAACATCAGCAACGATCTGGGATAGTGGAAAGCAAAGGACCGGTAGGTGCGAAGTTAGTACGACTCGGAATACTCTGGCATGCAGATTGCCGTTCCCGCTAGTTGTGTCCTGTACCTCTAATCCGTTCATAGTGTATTCCGGCTTGAACATCTATATTACAATTTAGGATCAATTCTTCAATTTTTAACAGTTTTACCTCCATTGACTTACGTCTTTTGAGAGAGAGTGAAGTGAGAGTGACTTCGATGGTGCATCTCGGATCTCGCTCACATGGTCCTCTGAAGAAAAGTGTATATACCAGGCTCCTGGCGTTCTCACAGCGAAGGGTTTACCTGGTATCTAGTTATATATCAATACACTACGATTCAAATTGTGCGCTGAAAGGAGTCTTCAGTACATAATTCTGTAGCACCAGCTTGGGCCCATTTATGAGGTAGTAGACTGAAGGAAGCCAGGTGCCAATCCGGCTTTCATAACGAATGGTTGATATATTGAGCTCGTGTGGTGTGGCTTGCCCTGTGGCGTGGTGTGGCTTTGCGTTTTATTTCCTATATAGCTATCTTTACCGCGTGTGGATTCCAATAAGACAACGCTCCTTTCACCCCCATAATTGGACCCTGCGTTCTGGCGACCGACAACCCTTATCGTATACGTTACAGGAGGAATTATTACTCTGATCGGCCAGGTCCCATTAGATAAAGTACGTTGGATTCGTCGGGAGAGACGTTGAAAACTACTTTGGTTGCTGTGGACGTTCTGGGACAGCACTGTCCTGGAGCACCACTCCAGTTCAATATTTCGTCGATTCTGTTTTTTTGCTTAGTATGTGGCATAGAGAAGACCTTCTGGGAATGTCAGTACTTTGATCTCGTTATGTCTATAAAGAGTTCGACAAAGTCTCCAGCAAAGCCAGAAGAAGGTCAAGAGCCCTAAAACTGGAACTGCACCTGAGCTCAACATATTGGCCGTGATATACAAATTCTTGTACGATAGTTCAAGGGGATAACAAATAACACAATGGATGAAAGAAGGAGACAGACTTCCAAGAGTCACCAAAGCTTTGGTGTGAGCTTTTCATACTAATGCTCATCCACGCTACCGGAAGCTCACGTGCTTTCCAAGTTTAAGTGAATTGCCTTGCGCTTGGCTGAAGCCGTTTTAGTTACAGCTAGACATACTTGGTTCCCAGCCGCGCAGGGTACATCATGGACATAACGTGGGAATGTACAAGGCCGGCTAATGATACGTCATGATATCGATACGCCTTTTGTTACCAAGTAGTCTTTGACATATCAGATCCTCGGTCCATTGCATATCACTATGCTCTTTCCGACCACAGAAGTTCGAAGAAAGGCTTAGACCATATACGCGATGATAATAAGCCATATCCTTGAAGTTGGTGACTTAGAACAGCATAGAGGCGGTTCTAGATGCCATGCATCTTGTGGGATTCGGTTGCTCTCACGTGCGCAGGACATGCGCCGCAATGCAATCCTGAAATGGGTATCCTTCTCGAGTTATGCTGCGAGGATTTACTTGGCCTTGCCGAATGGATTCTGAAATGCCTGTTGAAGCTTGTGGTCTGCATGGTGGTATTCGTCATACCCATCCCGTGTAGGATCACTCTAATGTGGTATCATCGCGGCAAGGCGGCCGCGACGTGCATTTTCGGCGCTTTTACTCAATGGACACTTGTCACGATGCGATGACGCGCTGGACTGCATCGCACAGTCCAAACCGTAGCGCGACCGAATCATTTACCGCGTACACATGTCATCTCTGGATTGACAGTTGACGGTTTTTTTTTTTCTTTTTCTTTTTTTGCTAGGACAATTCAAAAACGATGCAAACAAGCCTACTTGTACCCTCGACGCTTTGATCAGTCGACAACACCTGTCCTATCCGCACACCTCATCTCATTCGTGCGAAAAGACGTCTCTTGACTTCAGTAAACTTGACAGCGTGCGTCAGGCAGCTGCGTCTATTAACGAGCGCGTATCTGCAGGCGAAGTGCCTCGCATCCGCGCCATCGTATTGAATGCAGGTTATGAGGAGTTCAAGCAACAGACCTGGACAGAAGATGGACTCGACACGACGTTCACAGTCAATTATCTTGGTCAATGGCTTCTGGTGATGCTACTCCTCCAAAGCATGGATCTGTAGAATGGGCGAGTTGTTTGGATAAGCAGCTTTTCTCATAAGTAGGCGCCATTGATATGCAGCTTTGCTTGAAGGCTAATTGTGGCTGATCACGACTCCTGCAGCCCCAATGACTACCGCAGTGTCTTCATCGGTTCACACAGCGAAGACAAATACAAGATTGCCATAACGAACGATCTCCAACCGGTTGCAAAAGGTACCTGGAGTCCCAATCCGCTCAACGCAACGGTTCGTACCTGGGCTCCAGGGTACCGGCGTTATGGTGTTTCGAAGCTCTGTGGCGTTACAATGATGTATGTCTCAAAGCAAAAGTCCTTTTTATTGAATGCCTCGCTTTCTAGGACACTGAATTCTCTTGTTGCATACAGTAACGAGCTTCAACGCCGTCTTGATCAGGATCCGATTCTCAAGAATATATCTGTTTTAGCTATAGATCCTGGATCCATGGCCACCGGGATTGTTCGAAACGGTTCCTGGTTCCTCCGAGTAGTAATATTTCAGATTCTAGTGCGCTTCTTGGGCATAGTCATGGTTCGTTTGTTTCCAAATGGCACCTGGCGGACGCTTGATAAGTCAGCTAGTGATGTCACAGCTGCCGCCTTCGAAACAAGTCCGCCGCCACTCTCAGAAAGACCCAAGGGTATCTATCTTAACGGATCAGAACTTGGGCAGTACAATTCCGAAGCGGATGATCCAGTTAAGGGGAAGGTAGTTTGGAGCGGTAGTGTAAAGTATTCTGGCTTGAAGCAAGGGGAGACGTCGCTTAAGGAATGGAAGTAACTCTAAGGCTTAAGACTTTCATAATGTCAAAGAACGCTAGTATGCCATTGCACAATACTCACAGTGAAGGCTTCTGTGAAGTCTTGCAAGGTCGCAAATCCTCGCCGTTACGCAGTTTGGGGGTAGAAATGTTCTGTAGCCTTGCTTGAACCGCCAATTTACAACTGCTTAGAAACCAATTGCAAAGCATTTTACTGTGAAATGAAAGATGGTATTGTTTCATCCATTCAGCAAAAACTCTACAAATGCTATTTCTCGTTAAGATTGTTCGCTGTTTGTCTGGCAGCTAGTCCTCTGGGCTACAATAGGTCTGTACAACAATCCTAACACGAGTCTACGCCAACAGCACATAGGGCTCGTATGTTTAACAAATAGAATAACACATAAAATACCAAATTAACAAATTGACAATATACTCTCATACAGGGTCCAGCACCCTATGACTATCTTTTCTTTGGCATCGCACCACAGACGGGACCTTGGAGGTTGCACACCGCGAAAGTCCACTTTGTCAATTACTTTAACTGGAACCCTCCTGGAACTTGATGGAGAAAGACTTGGTCAGGATCTACGCGGTTCGCGATTGCGCGTAGCCGATCCACATTCTGCTTGCCGAAACTGGATATGGGATCTTGCTCTGGGCCGGCATAATTCATATAAACGAATGGGTCCCATGCATTCAGACTTTGAGCATCAGTCTCAATAGCTGACATGAGCCTACGAGTTGCACTGTCAACTACCTGATCGTCGGTTTCCTGAGACCAACTGGCTACCAGAAGTTCTACAACCAAGGTCTGGTTCCTAGCCCCAAGTCCGAAAGGATTCGAGCCTGCATGACGGCCGTACAGTGCAGGCGGCAGAGGTTCATGTGTGAACGACCAGACAATGTCCTCGAGTCCCTGGATTTCGTCGAGGCTTTCTTTAAAGCGTGTGTATGTCGCATTCAGCATCGCCTCGGTGGACACCAGTGTTATTGTAGACCAATTGTACCTGCATAGTGGTCAGATATCCTTATACGAAAGTCCTTTCTGGAAAATACCGATAGCCATACGTACCGCAACCCATTGGCACTTTGTTGTGCCCGCACCTCCAAGGATTTTTGAGTCATGTTCGAGATTCCGGAAGCGCCAAAAAGCAAAGGTAGGCTTAAAATCTCCGAAAAGATTGACGGGTTTTCCTCGCCAGGTTTTGTGTAATCCAGCCCGTGGGCAACAGCGGTTCCTACTCCAGCGGTGTAGCCCCAACTAAGTGTCATATGGGCATATTCGTCGTAGATATCAGCTTTGGTGATCTCAACAAAATTTTCGGCCGCTTTTTCCCAGGTTGATATCGGGTGATAGAAATATCCGGGCGTCTGTTCAAATGTCTGCAGGTCAACCCTCGTAACGACACCGAAATTGTTGCTACCCCCACGTAACGCCCAGGCGAGGTCTGAATTTTCCTCCCCATTTGCTTTAATGACAGACCCGTTTGCTACCACTATCTCATAATTGACAATGGTATCTGAGGTCCATCCGTATCGAGTTCCAACGAAAGGGATTCCCCCACCGAGACTCAGACCACCCACTCCAACACCAGCAGAGCGGCCACCTGTTACGGTTATGTTGATGTCGTCCAATACTGAGTACAACCTTCATACAGACCCCACGAGCAGCACTGTCCCGATTAACGCGTATCCGGCTCGAAACCAACAAGCTATAAGAGGGATACGGCGTAAAAAAAACCATCCGACTCGACATTAATACGTTAATGGAAGAGACAGGACACCCTCCGGCCTATCCGGCTCTGGGTCCGAGAGGCGGACAAGCGGGCGCGTCTCTCGGCGAGGGCTCGGAACAAGCCTACGTGCTCTACCGGACGTAATGGAAGTTGTTAAGACCCGGCGATTAGTTTCTGGTATTAGCAGACCTATTAAGCATCGAGCACAAGACAAGCGGCCGACCGATCGATCGAGGACACAGCGCACTACGGACGTGTATTATATAGTAGATATAGGTTGGGTTAATAAGAATCTTGAGCTAGTCGATGCCGGTGAGGTCGATTGGTACCGAGTTCCCTGCAAAACATAGTCGGCTGGTATCGGGGAGATACGTGCTGGTAACGGGAAGCTGGTCCTGGGGTCGCGCCCAGGGTAGCCGGTGGGCCGTGGCACTACAATCATAATTAGAAGGTAGCAGAAGAGCTTCGCTCCCAGTTCGTACCTGGGCCGCTGCTTGTAACTAGTGTGAGCTCATTTGAGTAGTTGAATATGAGCGACGTAAGCTCGCCTGGGCCGCCGCTGTAGGCAGCGTGGCATCGCCGGCGTGTGAGCCTCTACACCGAGACCTGCGGAGATGATGTAGTGTTCCCAACGATCACAATCAACCCACTTGTCATCCCTTGCTTGTGCAGGAGTGATATCTCTTCCAAGAGACACGCAACCGACAACCACCAGAGAGCACGATACGACTTGAGTGCGATATTGTTCATTGCTTACCTACACCTACGAACATACCCCTAAGACAGTCCCGAGACTACCCGACTAGTAGAATCAGGATCGTGACACCCTTTCGGGCTCGATAGATAAGTGGGGGCACATTTATTAGGTCGTTGCAAACCAACAACTTAGAGATCACGACTTCGGCTAGTACGAGATCGCTCTTGTGCTGCCTACCTCGTAACTTATAACCCAAGTCAGTCCCGCGATTATCTAACTAGTAGCAGTAGGATTGTGATAAGAGAGTATAAGTACACTTTAAAGGTTAAAGGATTCCCTCGCTCGTAGCCGTTCGCCAAACTTCCAGAAGAGCATAGGGATCGGTATCATAAGTGTACAAACAAGACCTAATAGCGTATTTCCCCATCCCAGGCCGAGGTCACTATAGAGAGTAGGTCCCAATAGAGGTAGGAAAGCTCCAAAAAGACTTCTAAACACCGTGTTGGCGGCGATGACGCTAGAGGCATAGGAAGGGTAACAGTCGATAAGGAAAGTAGTGAACGGCGCAAACACCCCAACACTACCAATTCCAAATGGCAAAAGAGAGACGACGGCGTTGGGCCAAGACCCACCGAATTGTGTAACCCATCCGTACCAGTAGAATGTGACAGGTAAGAGGCAACTGAACCAAACGGCGATTTTGAGTCTCATCTCTGGGACGAACACGTTGTTGTTAGACAGAGTTTGCTTTACAACCTGCTTGTCAGATTGGGTCGTGATATACGTCCACGCAGCAATGTTGCCAAAGCCCAGTGACAGAAATACGAGACCACCCTCGCCGGTACTAAAACCATACTTTGTGCTGAATACTGTAGGGATAGTGGTGTAGAGTAGGTAGAGAACGCCATAAACAAAGGCCATGTATAGAGATATGAAGAAAATAATAGGCGAGCGGAACAGTAGCTTCGTGGGTCGAGTAAGGCTCCCATAGAGGAGGGACAAGTTGGAAACTGGCTTCTGCCGATAGTAGCTCACCAGAGTGGGTTGCTCGCCAGCACTAACACGCTCCTTGGTCATTCGGGCGACCTTGCGGTTGATCAGGACGGTGTAGTTGGTCTCTCTGTTATATGTGAGAATACAAGCTGTGACCGTTGCGCCAGCGATGAGGGTGACCCAGAAGGTCCATCTCCAACCAATCGTTGCAGCTAGGTACCCTCCAACTAAGGGACCCAGTGTAGGACCGATGACAACCCCGAGACCCCAGATCCCCGCAGCCAATCCACGTTGTTCAGGATGGAACATGTCACCGACCGCTCCGCCACCGAGCGTCAAGCATCCTGAGCCGCCAACACCCGAGAGGAATCGGAAAACGATGAGGCTCTGGATATTAGGAGATAAGGCGGAGCCGATCTGCCACAGACAGAACATGATGTTTGCCATATCCAGTACTATCTTCCTGCCGTACATGTCTGAAAGCGGTGCCAGTACAAGAGGACCAACAGAGTAGCCGAGTAGGTAGATGCTGACAGCAAAACTGCCGAGGATTTCCGATGTCACCCCGAACTCCTGCATCATGGCCTCGATCCCTGGGGCCAGAGCTGATGACGAAAAAGGAGTAAGCACGGCGATTGCCGCGATGTCTACAACTTGGATCCATTTCCGTCCTATTGGCCAATTGAGTGGCATTTCTGGATCATGCTGCGAGTCCCAGGCAATAATGCCCTCGGCATAGTTGGTCTCTGGTATGGGATCGTGCGTAATCTCCCCTGTCGCTCGGTGCGCGTGACTTGTCACGCTGCGCATGAGGTTCAACGAGCGGCTGCGCATGCTGTTGTGTGTCTCGCTCCGGGTCAGGCCTTCGTCGTTAGGAGAGTATTGCTAGCAAAATTGTTAGTCAGGTACGTGGGAGTAAGGGAGATGACCAGAGAGTCTCACTCCTGATGCGTGACATTGCGGTTCCCCGCCTGGGTTGGTTCTGTCATCTTTCTCGTCGGGATGATTTGACAAATGTGAACGAGCGGCGGATTGAGCTTCTCTGTCGCTGTCGGCGGGCTTTTCATTGTCGTGCTGCGTCTCGAACAGTCCCCCGTCAGACGATGTTGCTTCAGCTCCGCGTGACCACTCTGAGGCATCGTCCTGCTGTGGCGGGACTGGCTCTTTCATTCCAGCGCCAGTCATTGCATCTGGTCGGCGGTGGACAGGCGTTGGCGTTGATGTTGTAGATGGTTTACCAACCACTGCATGGGAAGGTACTTGTAAAAATACCCGAGCCACTATTGTTCTTCTGCGACCCTAAGCGATGCTTGCTAAGCAAGCATTTCTAAGCAAGATTGCGTGTCTATCTTCTCTAGCGCGAGTCAACTGCACGTCTGTACGAGGCAGGGGTTGAGTCAATCGCGGAAGGGACTACGTATGTGATCAACACTCTGGACGCGAGGGCACTCTGGACGGTAAGTCCCTAAGAAAATGAACCGTGAACTGGAGTACATTCCCGAAAAGACCTGGGATGTTGAATTCGGCGCAGACACGGCCTGTTGACTAGGCAATCAAAAGCGCCGACCACAACGGGCGTCTGGGGTAACGGTGTGTCTACAGTGGTGGTTGTATACATTACATGAAGTCTGGTGAGAGGTGCTACAAAAAATATGTATCGCCAGTAGTTCTCTTCAACCGCTTGAGATCCCTGCATAGAGGGACTTGAGGCAGCTGTGGGGGTCGATGCGCATCGAAATTGACTCGCCTTGGAGAAGCTACGGCCGAGTGGAATACGATGTATACTTTACCAGGATGCCCGATGGCCCGGCCCGCGCACCAGTCAGTGCTCAGAAGCTTGTTCATTCTCAAGGAAATGATCGACATTGGCGATCATGCAAGTGAACCCGACCTCCGTACAGGGGCCCCACAAAGTCCTCCTTCATTTTGATTACGCCAGAAGGTACTCCGTACATTGTCAGCACTAGGTAGCTTAGATCGCGTATCCACTGGTGGCAGCTCCAACAGCCGGTGACCCTTTTGGTTAGGTACCAGATCTTTCGCGCTATGCCCTTTGCGCGAAATTGGGCAATTCCGACCCTGGTCAATCCTAGCCCGCGTATAATGCAGGCTCTTGCATTTGTGTAACATTACCGGATACGCGGGGTGGTTATAACGCTTTTTATAATTATAAACTTATTAATTAAAAATAACTTAATACACTTTTATAAAACGTCGTAAAACTCTTTCCGCGTTTAACGTTATTATATTTTTAAAAACGTAATTTATAATGAATTACGTTATATAAATTTTTATTTTATAATTATTTTAAATTTATATTATTATAAATTATAATTTAATATTAAATTTTAATAATTTTTAATTAATTATATTATTTTTTAATTAATTACGTTATTAATAAAACGTTTAAATTATATAAAACTTTTTTTAATTAAAATATTATAAATAAAAGAATTTTAAATTAATATATTTATATATAATAAAATTACGTTTATATATATAAATATATTATATTTTTTTAAAATTTTAATTTTTTTGAATTTAATTAATATAAATGTTTTTTAAAATTAAAAAAAAACTTTTATAAAAATTTTTATTTTTTTTAAATTAAATTGATTTATTAATTTATTAATTTATTAAAATTTTATAATTATTTTTTAAATTTAAAATTTATTATAATAATATTAAATATAAATAATTTTAATATTTTTAAAATTTTTATTAATATTAATAAAATTAATTTATAATTTAATAATATTATTAATTTTAATAATAAATTTAATAAAAATTAAATTATAAATTATTAATTAAAATTAATATAATTTTTAAATATATATATATATATATTTTTTTATAAAGTTTTATAATATTTTTAAAAATAATTAAATTAAAATTAATTATTTTTTTAAAATATAAACGTTTTTAAATTATATATATTAAATAAATAAAATTGTTATTAAAATATATTTTAATAATATATATAATAAAACTTTTATTTATATTTTTAAATTTTATAATTTATTAAAATAATAATTTTTATATAATAAAAATTTATTAAAAAAATAAAAACTAAATATTTTTATTTTATATAATATTTTTAATAAATTAAAATTAAATATATAAATAAAAAACGTTTTTATTATTAAAAAGTAATTAAAAAATTAAATAATAATTTATATAAAATTAATAAAATATAAATATTTTTAAAAAATTAAAATATATTAAAAACCTTTTTAAATAAATAATTATTAATAAATTTATTTATAAAATAAATAAAAATTTATTTTAAAAAAAATTATTTTATTAAAAAAATTATAAAAAAAATAATATTTAAAATTTTATTATTAATATTAATTTTTTTATAAAAAAATTTAATAATATTATTTTATTAAATATAATTTTTAAATTGATAATTTAATTATTTATTAAAATTTAAAAAATATTAAAATTAATCGTTTATTTTTAAATAATAATAATAAAAATATAATTTTTTTTAAATTTATTATTATTAAAATAAAATTGTTTT